TTTGTTTAGTGTTTATTTTTATTTTAATATTTCTTTGATCTAAAAATTCCATAAAAAATATTTTGGACTCATAAAATAATGTAGAATTTGATTCTGAAACTTGTTTAGCATTTTTTCTATTTTTTGATTATGAATTTAATTTGAGAAGTTTATTTTGAATTTTTGCTTTATAATTTTCATTTTAATACTCCATTAATTCAAAAATCCTCAAAAAAATCATGTAAGCTTGTTTTTAATCATATAATCTGAATATATTTTTATCTTGACCTTTTTGTGACTTTTGGCTAGGGTTTGCATTTTTGCCCTTAAATAATGGTTTAATTGTTAATTGTTTGTTTGATTTTTATTTTAATATTTATTTTAACTCAAAAAAATTCCCAAAAAACCAGGGATGTATGTTTTTAGTTCTAATATTTTAGTAAAATTTTGGTTGGACATTTTTCTGACTTTTTGATTAAAATTTTGTTTTGAGATATGATTATTTGTTTAATTGGTGAATTGTTTGAATTTGATTTTATTTTTGACTTTTTCTTAATTCCAAAATGTGAAAAAATATGTATTCTGACATTTAGGGTTTCTTTGTGATTTGTATGATCTTGGTTTGAATTGTTAGAATTTTTATCTTACTTAATCAATATTTAAGATTAAAACTCAAAAATTAGGGTTTTGTTGCTTCTTGTGCAAGTTTCCTTTTCAAAACCATTATGCCCTGGATTTTCAATGGAACTTAGGTCTTGATTATGGTTCATTAATTCATTGAGGATTTGAAAACCATTTTTCTTGAATTATTTGACTTGGTTTGATATTTTTCCATGAATTATTTTGAAAACTTGTCTAGTTTTGGTAGTTTTGCCAACTAGTTTTGAACTTTGGTCCTCATTTGATCTCCTCCTCAATCATTCATGAACTTAGGGCTTACATTCTGACTTCTACACATTTCAAAGATGCTAGGATATTTTTGGTTTGAATTATTGAAATCTTTTTCTATTTTTGATGTATTTTTGAAGTGAAGGTACCCAATTGAAGTTACATATCTTGTTGCAATTTGTTTGATGGCCAATGAACTTGAGTGAGGCCTATAATTGGGCACCTAATGATCAAGTTGATTCTGATTATCCACAATAACTCAAGTCATTTCACTTATTGCCCCATGTTTGAATGTTTGAACCTTTTTGATGCATTATGTGGGCTTCATCTTTTATTGTGCTTGTGAGCTGTGGTTGAATTAATTGTACATGATTGAATTAAGTTTGCTACTGAACTTCATGGTCTTTGATTGTATTCTTCTCAAGCTCCCATGATCCTTGATTGATATTCAATTGTCAACTCAACATGGTGATAGAAAGGAGCAATATTCCTCTGTTTCTTTTGACCAAATTATGCATATGCCTTTTTTCCTTCTGTCTATCATGACTAATGTTTGATAGTTGATATCATGTTTTCTTGCTTCATCATGATTCATACATCTCTTATGTGATTCATCATTCAATTTGTGAGAATACTAACTTGTCTGTTGAATGTGCGAGGTACTTTGAGAAAAGTTTTTCAGTCTTAACCTGAGGCTACTGTGTTTCACTTTATTTGTGGAACACAATTTATTATATTGGAACTACTCTTGTGCTTGGCATATTTGGTAGTCTATGTAGGATATACACATGTGATTATGAATGCTATACATTTCCCATGGGATCTGTTCATATCTGAAAATCTCAATACTTATATCTTGATTGCGCAATTTCTTACTTGATTTGTCTGTTGATGCCAGCTTGCTTGAAGTTCTCTGGGTTTCTTTTATTCTTGTTCATTTGCTACGGATAGTTATCCGTTTGGTATTGTACTATTTCCTTTCTTCCATTTTCATTTTTTCATAGTTCTATGATTGCATGATGGGACCTCTGTTGCTGATATATGTCAAGAGGCCCTCTGGTTTTTGTCTGATACATGTGTTGTGTTTTCTTTTGATCAATGAGTCACTCAATTTAGAAATTGAGATCACGACTTCGCTCTCATTGCATGTTCCCTATAGGATGTTTATTACTTTTCTTCTTTAATTGTTGATCGATGAGTCACTCAATTTAGAAATTGAGATCACGACTTCGCTCTCATTGGATGTTCCCTATAGGATGTTTATTACTTGTCTTCTTTAATTGTTGATCGATGAGTCACTCAATTTAGAAATTGAGATCACGACTTCGCTCTCATTGCATGTTCCCTATAGGATAGTTTTGTTAGGCTTCCTTTAACATGTTAATTAAGGTAGGGTTTTCCTTTATCCTCAACCTTAGGGCCAACCATTGTATGATAATACTAGGGTTAGTACTAGGTTAGTTTCCCTTAGTTGTTTTTCCTTTCTATGCATTCTGCATCTTAAAACAAATATTGTTTTCTTGGCAAATCATAAGACATTTCTAATAAACTCAAACCCTTCTTCAAGGTAAAATATACAAACCAATCTTACTTTGTCTGTGCGCCTCTTGGCTTTGATTTTGAACCTTTTAGCCGATGTTTCGCCATCGCACATTTGTTTGAAGCCGATGTTTCGCCATCGCATTTGTTTGTTATCCTACTTTGATTCTCAATATCATTGTTAGGTGTGATGTTTCGTCATCCGATTTATTGATGTTTCTCCATCTATGCCATGATACTTTACTACCTTTTAGCCGATGTTTCGCCATCGCACGTTTGTTTGAAGCCGATGTTTCACCATCGCACATGTTTGTTATCCTACTTTGATTCTCAATATCATTGTTAGGTGTGATATTTTGCTATCCATTTCATTGATGTTTCACCATCTATGCCATGATACTTTACTACCTTTTAGCTGATGTTTCACCATTGTACATTTGTTTGAAGCTGATGTTTCGTCATCGCACATGTTTGTTATCCTACTTTGATTCTCAATATCATTGTTAGGTGTGATGTTTCGTCATCCGATTTATTGATGTTTCGCCATCTTTGCCATGATACCTTGTTATCTCTTAGCCGATGTTTCGCCATCGCACATTTGTTTGAAGTCGATGTTTCACCATCGCATCTGTTTGTTATCCTGCCTTGATTCTCAATATCATTGCTAAGTGTGATGTTTTGTCATCCGCTTTATCATTTGATGTTTCACCATCCTCGACATGTTACCTTGTTATTATTTAGTCAATATTTGACCATCTCATTTATTTGTTGTTTTATTCGATGTTTTTCCATCTTGACTGTTTTTGTTATCTTAAATAAAAAAACACAAACCAACCAAAATAGATAAGCCGAACTACGGCTGCTCTGATTCCTTAAAAGGGATACGTAGGCATTAGGGTAGGGCTCAATAGAGCACATCTTTTATTTTCCCTACACTATTTTCTTTTCTTTCGCATGCATTCCCTTTTCAGCTTTAAGCCATAGACATAGGATTTGACCACACCCATTAGATTAGACAACAAGAGTGGATATCATAGAGTACTACGGGCGTGTGGGGTGCTAACACCTTCCCCTCGCGTATCAGACTCCCTTACCCGATCTCTCGGTCGAAAGACCGTGATTTCTCCCTTTCCAGGTTTTCTCGATGTTTACCTTTCCCTTTCGGCGGGATAAAAGACGTTCGGTGGCGGCTTCATTGATGTTTCATTACATCTAGATGACAGGTTCCGGCCGGGTGGTTTCATAAAGCTCACGGTATAAGATTCCCTGCATCACATGAAATATACAGACAAAACTAACAGCATGAGAAAAATTATATGCGTCTGTGCGATTTTTTCAGAAGTTAATTTGAATTAAAATTTAAAATCGTAACGCAATGAAAATAATATTTACGTAACCTGAATTTATTTACAAATGAATAAAATATACAGTCAAAATATTATGTACAAGTATATATTTACAGTACCAAATATTAAATCAGAATAGTAAAATACAATAAAAAGGTAAAGGGAGAAGCGTAGGAATTGTGGACGTGTTATGCGGGAATGAATACTTGAAACGATTTTATAGAAACCTTCACAGTAACAAACACGTTAGTAGCATAAGCGATATAAAAATAAAATAAAACGAAATTGCAACAATTAAAATCTATGTTAGAAATCACAAAATAAAGAATTGAAATGAAATTTTATGAATGCACATGAATATTTACACAAATAAAAATCAAGAACTCATGATATTATTCCATGTAAACACCAAAATCAGCATCACATAGATGTATTCCATCAAGTAAATTCAAAAGCGATTGCTATTTCAAACCACAATAGAAAACCAGAATCAAAGGTTCACATTGCAACATGAGAAATTGAATTCGAAATAGGCTTGAAACCTTAAACAAAAAATCCTAACATCAATAAACACTAATCGTTATCGCACGATAAAATTCACCGCAAACATGCTCAAACAACTCAAAGAAACAGTCACAATGCCATGAGCGAATTTACCAACCAAAAACCAAATTGAATTGTATCCGTACAACATCAACATATATTTAAAATTGATCTTAAACAAATGGCATCATTCACGGAAATTAAAACAATGGAGCAACTCAATGTCAAAAAATCCACAAAAGCAATGTCATGTTATCATCCACGAAACAAAAGCATATTGATGCCTTATGATATAACTTAACTATGTTCAAAAACTCACGGGAGTGGAACGGAACTGAACTGATATCAAAATTTCAATTTAGATTCTAACAGTATAGCCTGACCTGTTATCATAACTTCAACATATAGACTTAAATGGCCATAACAAACATCATTTATCATTTACTCAGATCGATTCAAAAAACATAAAACACATCAATTGTTTTCTTCTTCTTTTTTTATCACATTTGCAGCAATTCCATAAATTAATCTCAATCAAAAGTAAGGATATTAGAAATTACCAACTTGACAGAAAAAGTGAAGCTATTGTTGTTGTTGAACGGTGATGAAAGTTAGCAAGCAAGTTGTTGTTGGAACTGTTGTATTCGGAGCAGTGGAAATTAGTGATTCTGTTGGAGATGAACGGTTAACAGTGGCAGAGGTGAGATGAACGGGGTGAGATTAATTGGTGGATTGCTGGAAAATGGATTGTGTTGGTTTGATGAAAGGGGGTATATAGGTTTGGAAGAGGGAGATGAAGAAGGGTGTTGCGGATTGAAGATGAGGGAAACAGGGGAGGTTGTGCATGAAGAAATTGAGAGGAAGGATTAGTTACTGCTGGCTATTGTTTTTGTTTTGTGTGATTACAAATAGTAATAAGCTCTCTTTAAATAGGCAAATTAAAGAGGAAAATATGATTTCAACATTAATCGTGTCCGTTCAAAATTATGGAATCTGTATTAATCCACAAATTCTGTCAACAACCAATTACAATTAAGTATGGTGTAATCAATATTTTTTTTGTGACTAAAAAGCCCTTGAATGATAAAAATGAAATAAAAAACTGAAAGTATTCAAATTAACTCAAATTAAAATAATTTTTTTAAATTTTTTCTGAATAAAAAATAAAGTCTTAAAATGACTGAAAACGGACGAAAATTTATCCGAAAAAATATAATGAATACATTAAAATAAACTACATGTCACAAAGATTAAAGAAAAAATATTCAAAAAGTCAAAATCGAAATAAATTGATAATAAAAATATCAAGCTAAACAGACGTTTACGGTTAAAAATGAGACTTCAAATTGTACAAAAAAAATAAAGCGAGCATACCCTCATACTGTACGCGAAACGCATATTCATAAAATGATCGGTAAAAGGTGAAAACTTGAAATATTTTTCTCGCTAATTTTTCGTACAATGTTGAATCGCTTTTAACAATCTGTCTATAAAACCGAAATATTTTTATTATCGACATATAAACAATTTGGAGCAATGCAAGAAAATAGTAAAGAGATAAAAATGCATGAAGTGAAATGTCGGATATTTTTCAACTACAGAATGATGCAAATGTCGATTAAACTGACTTTTGGTCAACTTAAACACGATTAAATGATGCAAATGTGATGAACGAAGCTGTTTACTAATTATTGTAACCAAATGAAGAAATATTATATGAAAGTGCGACTGAAAAAATTAGGGGCGAAATTTAGGGTACAACAGCTGCCCCTATTTAATTATCTTTTAGCCAGATAGGCGGAAAGTAATTAAATACAAACAGACCCGAATTTTGCCCCTGATGCGATGAGATGATAACACATGTTATGAGTGAATGCATGGACTCTTTTTTGACATATATATTTTTTTAATAATGTATGAGATGAGACAGACTCTGGGAATATGGAAAGACTTGAAACTGGAAACTTATGGTAGCTTCGATGAAATGACGTGGAAAAACATGCTAGGGAAACAACAAGATATTTCTGGATATCTGTCAGGGTGACAAAGAGTAACCATCAATACTTAGAAAAAAGAGATAAAACTCGAGAAGGCAAGTAGCGACATCCAAGAATGGCATTGAATAAGGTGAACAACTCTTTGGAAAAGACAATCATAAACATCTAGAAGAACATTAGATGTTGGATGAGACCAAATCTAAAGCTACATCCGAGTCATCCAGGAAAGACGCTGGACGAAAAAGAAACACGACATCCAATATTGGCTTTGGACGAAGGGAAAACTCAACATCTAATAATGGCTTTAGACGAGAGAAAATATCACAACATCCAATAATGGCTTTGGATGGAAACAAAAGATCCTGACATTCAATACTGGATTTGAATGAAAGAAAAGTTCAACGTCTAATAATGGATTTAGATGAGAGAAAAGATCACAACATCCAATATTGGCTTTGAATGAGGTGAGAAAAAAACATCAAGGCGTCCTGTAAGTTTAAGAATGCGCCTAAGAGGGGGGTGAATTAGGTGGTGGTCGATTTTTGACTTATTTGATACTTTCTGGTTTTGATTTAGTACTTTGAAAACTGTAAAGAGCAGAAAGTAAAGAGACACGGAGATTTATCCTGGTTCCTTCCACACCCCGGAAGTACGTCCAGTCCCCTTGCAAACACGCAAGAGATTTCACTATTTTGTTAGAACTTTTACAAGACTATTCCTAGTCTTATCAACTAAAGAACCTAACAAATACCAAGAACACCCTCTTGGATTTCCAATAAGTCTCTTGAGAACAATCCTCTCAAAAGATACCTCTTGTTTCCAACAATGGACAACAAGGAACACAAGTAGTCTAATACTTAATTCCAACAATCCTGGAAAAAAGTTACACTTTGTATAATTTGATGAAGTATGATTTCTTGAAAGATGTTGATCAAATAGAGTGATTTCAATGAAGTTTCTTCTTTCTTCTCTTGTAAGCAATTCAAACTGCAACACAATGGTTAGATAATGCTCAAAGATTTCTGTTCTTATATGTGTGAAAGTGCAGAAAATCTTTGTTCTTAAAAGTTAAGAAATATGAAGTTTGAATATTTTACAAATTTCAGAATTATTGCATAAGAGAAGAATTGTTTTTTAATTTGAAAAATTTAGTATTTAAAGTAATCAAGATATCTTTCCAAATGGACACTTTTCTGTTTGAAAAACTTGAGAGGATGCAATGTATGACCATGCATCTATTGGAGAAAAGGTGTGAAGGATATCTTGAAACCAGTTCATATTTTTCAAAAGTTACAATGTGTAAATCAATTAACATAAGATGTAAATCGATTGCACGGGTTTGTAACGTTCATGTTTTCAAAAAAATTGAAGTGTAAATCGATTAGCATGTTGTGTAAATCGATTTACAAGAGTTAAAAATTCACATTGTTCTGTGATCAATCGATTTACACTTCATGTAAATTGATTGCTGGCAGAGACAATCAGTTTTTGAAAAAGCATGTGTAAATCGATTTACACAAGATGTTAATCGATTTACAGCAGAGAAAAACTTAGAATTTGTTTTTTAAAAATTAAGTGAATTGTTGTGACAAGTGTGTATATCATTTTTGAGCATTTCTAATCAATGTAGTTCAAATGAGAATTGATATACTTGATTGCTTGCCATGATCCTTGAAGCTTTGAGTGAATGATGCTTTAAGATAATTCCACTTCTTTTCCTTCTTGCCATAGTGCTTGTTTGTCTTTCATCAAACTATATTGTTTGTCTTTCATCAAAACTAAAGTTGAGTTGAGGCTTGAGATTACATTCTCCCCCTTTTTGATGATGACAAACCATCTTTCTTTATCAGTTGTTCAGAATTGGAGCAAAATGAGTTTTCTCCCCCTGAGAAGATTTCTCTTCCTATGGAGAAAAAAGTTTTGAAAGCTTGCCCTGTAAAGAAAATTGAAACAAACAACCATAAAGTGCTATAACATCCTTCTCCCCCTTTGACATTATAAAAAAGAAGGGAAAGATGCAACAAAAAGTGATACTTATAACAGTTTGAAACATATATGAACAAGAACTAAAAAGCAAATGTTTTAAAAATAGCAAACAAAGTTCAAAATACAACAGACTAACACTTGAATGTTTACAAAACAAAAACATAATGATAGATAATAAGAATTCAATAATATTGGTCATTGGAAGGGTCCTGGATAGAGAAAAAATACATAAAAATGCTTCAGCTTCTATGGTAAATCGATTTGCCCCTTGGTTAAATCAATTTACACAACAGAATTTTTTATGAAAATTAATTTTCGTTCAGTGGTAAATTGATTTACATACTGTGTAAATCGATTTACACAAAAGGATTTTATAAAAAAAATGTTTTGCTTCAGTGGTAAATCGATTTACACACTAAGTAAATCGATTTACTTAAAGGAAAAATTTTAAAAATAGTAATTTTAACATTTGAAACATTGTTTAAATCCATATATATGTACATTAAAGTATAGTTAAGGATAGAGTGCACCTTATATATCTTGTTCATCTAGGATTCCGAGTTCACGACGAATTTTGAAAAATGCATCCTTTGCAAGTGGTTTTGTGAAAATGTACGCGAGTTGATTTTGAGTATCCACAAAAGTAATCTCGACATCTCTTTTGAGTACATGATCTCGGATGAAATGGTGTCTGATGTCAATGTGTTTTGTCCTGGAATGCATAACTGGATTTTTCGTAATATTGATCGCGCTTGTGTTATCACATCGAAGCGGAATGCATCCAAGGTTTACTCCATAGTCAAGTAACTGTTGTTTTAGCCAAAGAATTTGAGCGCATCCACTTCCAGCCGCAATGTATTCTGCTTCGGCAGTGCTGAGAGCGACGCTTGCTTACTTTTTGCATGACCATGAAACCAAGGCATTTCCGAGAATGTGACATGTTCCACTTGTACTTTTGCGATCAGTTTTACATCCTGCATAGTCAGCATCAGAATAACCAACTAGATTACACATACTACCTTTTGGATACCATAATCCGATGTTGGTTGTTCCTTTGAGATATTTTATTATGCGCTTGACTGCTGCAAGGTGAGACTCTTTAGGATTGGCTTGATATCTTGCACATAGGAAAACGCTGAACATGATATCAGGTCTACTTGTTGTTAAATAGAGGAGTGAGCCAATCATTCCACGATACTTAGTTATGTCAATAGAGTTCCCTGATTCATCTGGATCAAGATAGGTGTCGGATCCCATAGGAATTGCACTTTCTTTGCTGCATTCCATCTCAAACTTCTTTATAAGGTCTTTGCAATATTTTGATTGGTTTATGAAGATACCATGTTTGAGTTGCTTAATTTGAAGACCGAGAGAGAAATTCAATCTTCCCATCATAGACATCTCAAACTCTCCTTGCATCATAGATGAAAATTCCTTTCACATATTTTGGTTAGTTGAACCAAAAACAATATCATTTACATAGATTTGTACAAGTAAAGTATGATGATTAACATTTTTTATGAAGAGAGTGGTATCAACTTTACCCTTTACAAACCCTTTTTCACATAGGAATGCGCTTAGTCTATCATACCACGCCCTTGGTGCTTGCTTCAACCCATAGAGAGCTTTCTTCAATTTGAAGACATGATTAGGATGTTTGAAGTCTTCAAATCCCGGAGGTTGCTTTACATAGACTTCTTCATTTATGAATCCGTTGAGAAATGCTCTTTTTACATCCATTTGAAAAAGTTCAAAGTCCAATGAGCATGCATATGCAAGTAATAGTCTTATTGCTTCCAAACGTGCTACCGGAGCAAAAGTTTCTTCAAAATCAACTCCTTCCTCTTGGTTGTATCCTTGAGCAACTAGTCTTGCCTTGTTTCGAGT